AATTAAGATAAGCTCTATTAATTATGAGCAGTTGAGCAGAATCAGGTCTTTCAGGTGAAGTGTAAAAGTGACAGAAAAGCCGTGGGTGGAGTGAGGGAGCCATTGCGTTCATGCCCTTATCTTCTAATTATAATTGTCAAATTCTTTAAATTGACAGGGTTTGAATGTTTCCATTTTTTATCAGATATGTTTGCTCCGTGAGTGGTGGTAACTGTGGATATTGTTATTATTTTTGATTGATTGATTTCTATCCCACCTGTCTTCTCAGAAGGCACAATCTAATGTCCTAAGCAGCCCATAATGCATTATTTTTTCTGATGGACCTGCCAGAAGCAGGAAAAGTGGATGATCTAATGACATGGACTGTATCTGCACCTCTTGTATGGCATTTGTTATAATGTCATTTTATATGTACATCAACCATATGTGAAGGCTATACGAGAGTTAGGTCAAACCAAGTCAGTTTGGTTTGTATTCTGCATACAAAATTGCCTTCATTTGCATCCAGGAAAGATTATATTTGCAGTTTATCCCCAACCTGGTCATTCAGATCTGCCAATGGTGCACCCTTTCCTGATATAATTGAGTCTATCATGAGTATATCATTCTGTTTTTCTCTCTCCTTCTACCTTTCCCGGTGTTATAGATTTCTCAAAAGAGCCAGGACTTCAGATAATATGCCTAAAATATTATCATTTAAGCCTGATAATTTGTCCTTTGAATGAGAACTCTAAATTATTTGTTCTATAAGCAGTTTGTTTGTTTGATATTCCCCCCGCCCCTATCCATGGTATTCTCAGGAGTCTTCTCCAATACTAAAGATGAAAATCATCAATTCTCTTTCCAATATGGCACTTCCATAGAGTGCCATATTGCCCATATGAATCTGACCTCTGTAGGTATAGACATATCTCGGCTTCTGAATATCTTTTCCAAGGCCATCATTGGTACATTAGTGGGCACTGGTCTGTGACATATTTTTACTGCTAGTTTCTATGATGATAGTTGATTCTAAAATGCAGAAGCTATTCACTACTTCAGTAGCATCCTAATCAATTCTAAGACTGGTTGCTGCTCCATCTGTTGTCATTAGTTTGGTCTTAGTCCCATTTTTCATTATTTGACTTTTATGGCTAGAACTTCCAGATGTTTTCCATTTTCAGCTATTAGAGTAGTGTCATCAGCATATTCCTCCTTCAGTCTTAAAATCATGCTCATCTTTCTAATAATTCTGCTTCCCGCAATATATATTCAGCATGTAGGCTGAATAAATAAGCAGGGTATATATAGTCTTGTCTCATTTTTTTTGCTGACCTGCAGTCAGTCTGTTTTAGCATGTTCCAGTTGAATTGTGGTTTCTTGACATGTATAGGTTTTGTATGAATACAATGAGGTGTATTGGGATTCCATTTTCCTAGGGACATTCCACAGCTTGATATGGTTGATACCGTTTATTACTTTCTATAATCAGTGGGGCACATATTTACTTCTTTTTGGTATTCTTTGGCTTTCTTAATTATCCAGGGTATGTCAGTGTTCCTTGGTCTATTCTAAAACTAGCTTGAACATTTGGGATCTCTCTACAATTTTAATTTACATTGGAGGTCGATTAGATTAGTATTTTTTAATAGTACTAAGTCTTATTTTATTAGCATGTCAAATTAAGGGTATTGTATGATAGTTGCAGACTCTATTAAGTCTTCTTTCTTTGGTATTGGCATGTAGACTGACCTATTCCAATCTGTTCATCAGATTGTGTTGTTCTCCCACATTTGATGACATTGTTTATTCAGAAACCTTGTAAATTCTTCTTCTATTGCTTGCCATATTTTTTTTAGATATTCCAGTAGTCTTCTAATTTGGTAATGATCAGAGTGCTGATTTAATATACTCTTCTAATACTACAAATTCATGTAAGTAGGAAATATTTTTTTAGGTATCATGGATGTTGACATCTCTATTTTACATACCTTTAGTAAGTTCCTTCCCTCTTACTTTGATCTTCCTTTAATCAGTTATTATCTGTCCATTGTGACTTGAGTACCAGCTCAAGGCTGGATCACCTTCTGAGTTCAGAGATTTTTTTGGAAGACTTTCCTTATTTTTCTTTCTCTCTTATCATTTACAGTATCTTCTTAGATGTCATTGTACTACTGCTGTTTTCTAATCTGGTAGCTCTCTTAGTTCCTTTGTGATATCTTTGTCTTTCATGGCTTTGGCTTCTCTTCTCTTCTTGGCAGTTTCCATGTTTCCTTCCGACATCAGTTTGCTTCTTTTTCTTTTTCTTTGGAAATATTAATTCTTAACAACTTTTGTCTACAGTTCCTCTTCATGGAGAAAATCTATTTATGTGGGTTACTAAGAATCAACACTGACTTGATGGAACATAATCGAACAATTCCTCTGCTTTCTTATCAATGAAGTTCAGATCTTCAAAGTAATTCAGGATGTTCTCTGAAAATAATGGCTATATGTTCAAGATTATGCCATGTAAATTGAGTGATTTTCTTCTTCACCTTAGCTTGACTTGGAACTTATACAAGTGAACTTCATGGTCTGTTTCAAAGTCAGCCCTTGGCCATATCTTAGCTATTATAAATAATTTTGTTCAGGTTTTTCTTAATATGGAGCAGAAGACAGACACAAATTCTATGCTCATTTCTATTTTCCTACTTATTTTATTCTGCTGTTTATATAAGTTCACAACTATTGATATCTTATTTAATATATACATTTCTACAACTATGTTCCTATGTTTTGTAGCATTATATTTTTTCTATCTTAATTATTTCTTAGCTCTTTAAATATTCCCCCCCCTTTTTTTTCTGGTCTTCAGTTTTTGTAGCGAATCATGGTCCATTTCCACGTGAAAAACCCTTTTCACTTCTCAATCGACTTGTGAATGAGCTTTTCTCTCACATCAAGAACTCACTGTCCTGGTATATCATTCTTTTATTAAGGATTTTGATTACAATAGTAAAAACTGATAAAAATTAAACTTCTAGAAAGAAAAACAATATGATAAAAAGAAAATATATATATTAAGAAGTGAGTTCTAACTGTCATAACAATAAGTGTAGATAAATTTACTAACTGCTCACCTCCTATAAAGTTACAAACAGATATCTCTTCATTCCATATCCTATACCTTATTTATAAACAAACTCATAACAAATCAACCTTTCAATCCTGAGGTCAACAAGAAATCTGTTGGTTGACAGAACTTCGCAAGTGTGTGTGTTTGTGTGTGTGTTTGTGTGTGTGATATTTTAATTTTGATCAAATAAACCAACTTTAGATTCCTTTCACTTCTGATAGTCTTAGTTCTTATTTCATTGAAATATTGTTGTAGAATTTGATTTCTCTTCAATACTTCTTTATACCAATAGAAGAGAATAGGAGCGAATTGTGAATTCCTTGCTGCTCTGTGAACTTGGTTGTTTGCTTGCTTGTTTCATTACCTGACTAGATAACATCATCAGTGCTAATGGATATGGAGTTTGTTCCCTGCCAGTGTTGATGGAGGTTGATTTTCTCCTTAGTAGTTCCTTGATTAGGCTATTGTTTTCTCCTTGATTGTTTATCTGTTTAATTGTTTGTTTCCTTGTAGATCCTTTATTAAGGTATTATTTTCTGCTTGGTTGATTGTCTGCTCTTAATTCCTGCTTATCTTGGTGTAGAATGCTTGAAAAAATGTGTTCTGTTTGTTTCTTAGCTTTTTCATTTTCTCTTTTGAATAGTGTGTAAATATGATTTATCTCTATGTGTACATTGATGGCTGTTGTGTTTGGGTGTCAAACTTCCAGGAATTCTGTAGCAATTTTCAATTTAGTCTCACAGTTACCAGTTGAAGCTATGATTGAGTCTGTCCATGTGTTGTGAGATTAAGGAATTTTATCATGTCTTCTGACTGTTAGTTGGTATTCATGGATGTGCTCTGCTAATCTTCTGCTTGTCTATCCTACGTAGTGGCTGTTATAGTCCTTACAGTCTCTACAGTCTATATGTTGTAGATGACTCCTGTTTTTTCTTCTTCAGCTGTTGGATCTTTTGATTCAGTTAAGATGTTTTGCAGGACTTCAGTTAGTGTGCTATGGTGATGCCATGTAATAACCAAGGATTCCACAGTTCAGCTCTGAGTGACATATATTCTCTTCTACAGAACAGGTTGCAATAGTCTGATAGTTGTTTCTGAGTTGTTTCTGATATTTGGTAGGGTTATCCTTTGCATAGATTGTGTTGGTTCTACTATGGTGGGTTGAGAGATCTGACGACATTGTTATCAATGAAAAAAATCATTGGATTAGTAGCAGTTGAGAAGTTGTCCTGCTTTATTTCACTTTCCTAGGCCATATAGTCAAATTACGGTTTCCCCCTTAATATTTCCAACTTTGGCATCCCAGTCTCCAGCAACAAACAGCACATCTTGCTTGCATGTTCTGTCAATTTCAGATTGAACATGACTATAAAACTCATCAACCTTTGGGACACAGCTCATTTAACCACTGCCTTGCTTATCAATGGAAATTTGGGGCTCCATTGTGGTTGTAAGGTGAAGACTACCTGTGCTGTTGCTGCCTTAAAGAGGTGCCTTCTTGCTTTAGCCAGGTAGTTGGCATGACCTTCAGACCTAGGGTGATCCTGCGAGGATATTATACTCAATTGCTTTCTTCACTCCCTGATTCCAGAACACACCTGCTAACATGAGAAAGCAGGTTAGCAAGAGATGGAGGTATGCCCAGGAGTGTGTGGTCAAAAAGGTGAAGATGATAGCTGCAACTGTCTAAACCCACCATTTTTTGTTATATGTTTGTGTAGGGTGTGTAAAAAGGGGCAAGAGGTGGCTGCCCGGAGTGGTAGGGAAACGTCAAACATGGAAACAACGTTTGCCCAAAGTGAATTGGGCTGTATTCCCATTAGTGGGTTGGGGCAAACTTCTAAAACATGAGAAGTTTTGGGGTTGCTGACTGAACAGGCCGATTGTCTCAATTTGTCTGAAGGTGCTGTTGTGGCGTGCTCAGCAAGAGGAGGCTGCCCGGCTGGAAGCTGCAATTGCCGCCCGAAGAAAAGAAGAAGAAGATGAAAAGGAGAAGTTTCGGAAAGAGAAAGAATGGCTTCAAAGAGCTGAGGATAAAGAAAAAGTATGCAATCTGTCTGTCTGCGTGTTTGTGTGTGTATATGTGTGTGCGCGCGCGTCTGCGTGCTTTAAATGCTTTAATATATTTAAAACGTTAATTGATCTGGATACATTATACCCTTGTAAGCAGTCTTAAGGATTATTACAGAGATTAATGAGCGCTTAGTGGATATCAGCCAGGCCAGTATATTTTGCAGCTTTGAAAACTCTTGACTTCTTCACAGCCATGTTAAGTTTCCTCACCCCACTTCCCCCCCCCCACAAAAAAAAAAAAGACCCTATTATGAGGAGCATGCTTGCAGGCATATGCCTACTGTACTCTCACACAGAGAGAGAGAGAGCAGAGAAGCCAGCGAGAGGCAGATTTTTGCTGTCAAGAGCAACCGTGGCAAAGACCAGAGTGGTTTGCAATGCAGCAGCAAAGGTATGCTGCAATGCACCAAATAAGCTTTCCCGGGGTAATGCCTGCACAAAGCAAATGAAGCATCGCAGAGACCGCTTCGGAGAACAGTGGGCCTGATGCCCAGTAGCAGAGATAGGGGCAAATGCCTGAAGTGGGTCTCAGGGAGTCTGCTTGCATTATTAGGCTTCTTTTTTCTGATCCTTTGAGAATCAGAATCCAGAAGGCAAGAGATCAGCAGCCTCCGAGAGAAAAAAATATGAAAAGGAGGATCGTTGAAATTGCAGCATGTATTATATGGCTCCTCAGAATGCCATTACCACAATGGGAGCTATTAAGTGAAATTATTATTATTATTTACTAAATATCCTCTTCTACATTTTAAGGGTCAGATGCCTTGTTTAAAAGCAGCCTTTCAGAATGGGATTCCCGGGCTCTCATAATACAGTTCAGTGTTTTTATTGCCCGATAAGTTATAAAAATAATAAAATCAGGTAAAGTGTAGAGCTTTATTTTATGTGACTTATTCCTTTTTTTTGTTTTTAGAGGGTGAAGGTTGACTGTAAATAATCCCTTTTTTTAGAAGGAGTGCCTTTATCACTTTTTTCAAGACTCACTGAAATAAATATGATTAGTGGATGCAAAGGATTTCTTCTTTCACAAATGAATTCACTGGTGAAGGAAAAACCAATCATACATCTATTTGGAGACAAAAATAATGGTACTCCATTCTGAAAAATCCAGCATTTATTCTTGTGAAACATTAAAACCAGATTTTTCAGAAGAGGAGAAAAGAATGGCAATAAGAAAATTTCATGACAGCAATTTTATTATCATTTCTAAAACTACCTTTATAGAGGTAGTACATATATTCGGGTTTAAAAGAATATTTTTTGCTTTCCTGGCTTGAATCCCAGGATATGTGGAAGCAATTTTTAATGCACATTGGCACTTTTTGGCTGATTTGTTTTTTTCCCTTAGTTTTTTATATTGCTTCATGAACAGTTTAGATTTCTCCAAATTTATCTTAAGAGATATTTTTTGATGACAAATGAGGTTGTTTTTTTACAGATATGGCAGTATAATAATATAATATAATGATGGTACATTATATATGATATAGTATAATATAAATTTTGTAAATAATTAGTTGAGTCCTGTACATGCAGCATTCTTACTGCTTTTCCAGTTTGCTCAGATTAGCAAGTTTTTTCATTCTTATTTTGTTCATGTGTCTATGAAGCGAACTAGATTTAACTTTGTCCAAAATGCACTTTGGGAATCTTGGTGGTAGTGCAACCACCTGCAAAGTGTCCAAAGTGTTTTCTTTGGACCTCTCATAAATTATACATTTTAAAGATTATTAATTAAAAGCTGCAATCTCACAAAAATGCCAAATTCCTCTCATCTTGGCAATGAGGTGATCATATTTTGGTAATCCTTTAAGATTGCAATTATTTTTCTATGTTTGTTGGTCCCTACATTAGAAAAAGACTGTTAACTCTTATTTACAGTTTCAGATATTCCAAGATATTATAGCGGGCAACACTCCTTACTGTTAGTTTTATAGCAGGCAAAGAGAAGCCATTTGCTTAAGATCTTCCAGATTGCTCACATTGCTTTCAGTACATTTGTGACTGGAAACAGTTGTAGTAAACATTTAGATTTACATGCTTTCATGCTTTGAAAATAATTCAGAAAAGTGTCCCTTGAGAAGTGTTTAAGTATAGCATCTCTTTAAAGCACCCATGTCTTCTTTTTCAGATTTTTGTACAAACCTGGAGAATAATGTAATTGATTTAATGAGTTGCATAAAGGCCCAGCTGCAGTTGATGTCCTAAAGCAATCACAGATTTTTTTCCAGTCTTTTCAGAGAAATCTGAAAAAAGACATGACTATTTTAAAAAGGTGCTGCAGTCTCACTCCTAGTCATTCCAAAGCATCTCTTCTGAATAATTTTAGAAGTCTGACAGGCTCAGCAAATACCTTATAGAGGGACTTTATGCTTATGTCTGTACCAGGAGTGGGTTCTACTTACCATTACTACCGGTTCGCAACGGGATCGCACACACACACGCTTTGCTCACGCACGCCCCTTGCTTCTGCGCATGTGCAAATCACTGATGACAATATCCAGGGTGGTGGGCAGGGCCTCCCACCAGTTTTACTACCTATTCTTGCAAACCGGTCCGAACCAAGGGCAACCTACCACTGGTCTGTACTACTGCTAGGTTCTGGGGTGCCACATTTAAGATTATGCACAAAACATTAATACATATTATTATGATCAGCATTATAATGCTGCAGCATGGCATAAATTTTCTAACTGTTTTATAGGCTTCGCATTCTGCCTTGATCAGTATAGGTTTTGATACTATGAAAGCAGTTGTCATACAAAATAAATCGCTTCACCAACTTATAGCCCACATGGCCAGACTGAATTTGATTAGTTTGAATTTTAACACCTGTGTCTAGTTCTGCCACAATGAAAAGTGCACGTGCCCTAAGACTGAGTTGCCATTGATTATTTGGGGGATTTGTATTCACTCCTGGCAGGAATTATCATTTAGTTGCCCTTTAAGTAGAATGGATGCCTCTGTAATTTTCCAAATAATATTATCTCCATAGGAATCGGTCATCTTCTCCCCTTCATGAAGGCAAAAGAGTAAACCTAGAAGTAAGGGAACAGACATACAAGATTGCTTGACACCTACTCATACAGTCTGTCTCCCCCGCACTACATAGAACATTATTTTTTTAATGAAAAAAGATTCTAGGGCTGCTTGACATGGTAACAGCATGGAAAATGAAAGCAACTTCCATAGATACTAACCCAGAGGCCGTATAAATGGACAATGCACAGTAGATACTATGAGCCTTCAAACAGTAACTCTACTCAAAAATTCCAGACTGGAGGGGTCCTTTCCTTTTAAAATATATAAATAACCTGGAATCCTAGCAGGGTATCAAATTCAACGTTATATTTATTTTTACTTTTTTCTGAGTCACCTTCATTCAGCAGATCATATGAAGTTATCATAAAAACCCCACTCAGATTATATATTTCAAATGTAACACTTTACAAAGCCAACTAGACCTTATTAAAATGAATAAATCCAATTAAATCTATAAGTATCTTTGCTCTATAGAACCATTACTGTGCTACAGTGTAAAGTTAGAGCAAGTATAGGATTTATATTCTGATAATTCCAAAAGTCTGTTGACCCTTGAATGTTTTATGAGAATGATTTATCTCTTAGGCAGTATTATGTATAACAAGCTGATTAATGAAGCAGCACGGATTTTATTATAAGACTTAAAATATGTCCAATGATATTTAGTAGAAAGGTGGTTATAACTGGAGGATATATACAGTAGATTTATTCTGTTCAATCACATCTGATTCTTGGAGAATGCCCAGATAAGTCGCTGTTGTTTTCTTGGCAAGGTTTTCCTATTTCTAGCTATTGCCTCTTTCCTACGGCTGAGAGATAGTGACTAGCCCAAGGTCATCAGCTGGGACTAGAACTAATAGTCACTGGTTCCTGTCCTGATACCATAAATAGTACATCAAACTGGTCAGTGGTGAAATCCAAACCGGTTTGCTACCAGTTCTCTGGCCGCAGATGCGCACTGCACGCCAAACGCACGCTGCATGTGCATGTGCAGTGTGCATCAAATACATGCTCTGCACGTGCGCATGTGCAGTACGTGCCAAAAGGAGGCTTGGGAAGGTAAGTAGAAGCGAGGGGGAGATCAGCTGCGGCACGAGATTTAGTTTTGCTAGAAAGCAGGATTTCCTAAACCCTGCTGCACAGCTGATCATCAGAAATACTGGTTCGGAGGAACCAGTTGCTTTTTAAACTGCCGGTTTAACCGAACCGGTAGCTAACTACTGATTCGCCCAAACTGGTAGTTTTTATCACTACCGGTTCGCCTGAACTGGAGCGAAGTGGTACCATTTCATCCCTGAAACCAGTATATATACACATACACAAGCTGTGTGTATACACACAGATACACACTACATAACCTGTGACCTTTTGGGTCAATCCTTACCAGATTCCTTAGTGCTTTCAACAATGACAGAACTTGTAATTGGAAAAGGTGGGATACATTCAGAGATGTATCTGCACTGAAAATAGCCCACGTTGAACTGTATAACACAGTTAAATAATAGCAGAGGAAATGTAGTACAACATTTTGTATTATGTCATAAACTGTTTCGTGATAATGTTTATCATAAAACGTATTATAAAATTTGCCAAATTTCAATTCCCTAGGAAGCGTTGGTCACAAATTTGGGACAATTTCAGTAAGTTAGCCCATTTGAGGTACCTTAATATATGTTAAACATTGCTAACTTGTTAAATATCAGATAACACATTATGGGTAAACATCAGTGTTAAATATTATACTTAAGATTAATATTTAAGAATCACTCTGCTAAAACACCAGTATTTGTGGAAACGCTTTTGTCTAAACATGACTGATAAATTTATCTTAAAAATGTAATAATTTCATTTAAAATGAGTTAATTTTTGTAAACAACTGAGCTCTAAGCTCTTCAAATCTCAAAATAGATGTTTCCACTCATCTCATTT